TTTCTAGATCTCAACCAAAAGTGAGGTCAACAAGGCTCCCTACTCTCGGGTGGATGGCGCTTAGGCACCAGGTTTCGGCGCCTATGCGCCAGTGCTCATTTTTTTTTATAGTTAAACACCACACACTAAATGTCTCGGGACCCTATGTTTCTTGATTCAACTTCTTTTTGATAATTTTATCATCTTTTAATCCTCCCCAAACTATTATTGTACAAAATGACACTTAAAAACACTAAATAGGAAACAAAATGGCTCCTCCTCCTTATCATCATATCTTTACTTCCAATTTCTAATGAAATCACTACACTGATAAATTGTGTGCTTATAAATAATTTAGTAAGGTAATCCCATGAACTAGGCTATCTCTTATACATTGGCTTATGTGTTGCCAATTTCAACAATTACCTCCTCCATAAAAGTATGCACCTATCAGTAATAAGGATAGTGTAGGTCATCTGCATGTTACTCTCCATCTGGGGATTGAACGAAGTTGAAGAAAACAAGGAGGACCCCTCTCAATAATTTTAGACTCACTACTGCAATTGTCGAGCTTCAATGGCAAACATTTGGAAGTAGTCATCGAGCGACTCTCCATATTCTGGCCAATTCGAAAGAGACGAAATGAATTTTTGATGATCCTACAGTTTACAATGAACTTATCCATGAATAGTCTGACAAGCTCATTAAAAGTGTTGATAGTGCCCCCCGAAAGAGAGTATAATTATGTGAGTCTTACTCTAGAGAGTGACCGCAAAAACTTGATAAAGAAGATCATCAAAGGCACGTTGAATGTGCATATGGATCGATAGTGGTCAACATGCTCGTAAGGGTTCATTATCCCTTCATAGGAATTCATGTTTGGAAGCTTAAAACCCACTGATGGGGTTTTGGAGGACTGCTTAGGCTAAGGGATAAGATTCTTGAAAGTTGCGGCAAGCGAAGAAGCAATCCTTATTCCAAGAGGAACTCTTCTTGGACCAAGCACCTTAGCTCATCGTGGATGGTATCATCAGGACTAGAAGCAAGGCGAGGCGACACCAGGTGGCGACGTAATGCCGATAAGTATAACTCATAGTATCAATGAGTTCAGCATCCGAGCTGATAGAGGAAGGGTTTCGTTGCTAGGAGGAGGCCCATTACAAGTATGTTTGAGTGGGGAGTTTTCTATTGGTTGTTGATCTGGCAGTAAGTAAGCTTCATCGGGAGGAGAGGGAAGCGGTTGTCGAGTCTTATGTAGGAGACGCAGTATTTCTAACTGAGATTCCTCCATCCTGCGTACTCGGTCGTCCAGAGAAGGACTTGAGGCATCTTTTCGATCAGGATAACGTGATGTGAAGGCCTGATGCCCCTTACTCCGCGACTCTAATAGAATGATGAGTTTTGGAGTGGGACACTCTGTTATTGTGAGTATTACGCCTGGTGACCATGCAATAAGATTCACGAGTACTTCGGTTGTGAGGTTGCTTTATCTTCCTATAAATGACGATAAACTGATGTGTGCTAGAAAATTTACAGTGGCAAAGTAATGACATCTTTTTAGCACTACACAAAAATCCAACGCACACTTAGATAGAAGTGAATAACCAGTCTTGAAATCATAAGTTTTTACGCAGAAAAACAAAAAAGTGAAAAGAACCATGGGTCTTGCCTAGCTGAAATGTTTCACTATGTGTTAGTGATTACAGGTACAACCCCTGGTCCCATAGGTGGGAAGGGGTAAAACAATTTCTTGGGCTGCAATGTTCGTGCATAAAAGGACTTGTTGTTCCACGGTAGGGAGTGGGGGAAGGCATTGGTCCAATGCGGTAGCATCAAACGGAAGAGGCGACAACAAACGGAAGCAGCTGCGACAAATTGAGGAACCAACTACCGAAGTTGGTCGCATGTGGCGGCGACAATCAGAAGCAGTGGGCTGCAGGCGTCCCGATATGCGGTGCAGGATGCTGAGCTGCTGCTTCCACTTATGCAGAATCTTGGCTTCCTCTTATCTAGTGTCTCGGTATCTTCTCATCAGTGAGGCGGAACTCTATTTATAGAGCCCATATTTTAAATATGGAACAAATCCAAAGCACTCTTGATCAGATGACCCAGAAAGATCCCTTTGATCGTACAAAATTTAATGGACAATGATGTTAGAATTGAGTGATCTTGAGCTTGATAGATTTGTCTTATCGAGACGCTCAATCTGACTATAAACATAACCTTCCAATTATATCGAGAAAACTTTCAAATGTGGTTAATGGCTTGTGATAAGTTTGATTCAATTTGAATTAGACTGATTTTGATATCGTTGGGCCTGCCAGTGTAAATATGTTAAAATCAGAACTTTAGATAACTTTTAATGAATGTTTCAATATTGCTAAAAAATTTACTCGAGATCTGTCATTACAGTCGCCATTAGAGCTGCGGGATCGCGGCTTATAGTGAACACATAAACCCCCATCTTTCTCATCCTTCCTCTCGGCTCCTACCAGAAACCATTGAGGATTTAGTAAATCCCGGATTTATCGCGAATTGGCGTTGTTTTGGGATTTACAGAGACATTTTTGGCCGTTTGGCAGGATTTAGAATTGGATACCGGGAGTCTTGGATTCGAATGCAGTTCAGTTCAATTTTTAACACCCTACTACTTTCTAGGTGAGACCAGGAGCTGGTTCCAATGGCAGCGACGGCCGTTGTCGCTTCGAGGCTTTGTATGGGCCAACACCCGATTCCTTCCTTGGCATATTCTGGCCCTAATCGATCTTCGAAGGCTCCAACGTCCTTGCTCGAATCTTTGAGGGGCAGCATCGCAACTTCCTCGTCTTCAAGCTTTATCGGCGAGAAGTTTTTTCTCGGCGGAGGGGTTCACCAGAGCAGACTAGTAGGTTCATTTTGGAGGAACCTCGTTCTTGTTCTGCCAAAGTCGATATCGGAGTTGCGTGATTCTGAGGTATGTCTTTATTTTCCATCGAGCGAAATTGCTGTTTTCTTTGTGGTTTTTCATTGAAATTTTGTAGTCTTTTTTTATTAGCTCGAGTCGTTTATTTCGTAGTTTAATGAGAGCTAATGAGCTTCTTTGTTGCTAATGGTCAGTTCAGATAGTTTTGCTAAGGATGGATGTGATGCGATGGTACATTGTGAACGTTTATGTGCTGATTAACACAGTATGCTTGATTCTTGATTGTTTCTAATTTTGTTGGGTGGAAGATATTCTGGTTAAGTTTCTTCAGCAAAATAGGATTAAGGACGTGAGCTCGTTTCTGTGCATATGCGGATAATTTATGTGCAATTGATCATGTATATCGCTCATGCATTTTTTTGGTTATGATATTCTCTTAACTGGAATTATTTCCCTTAAGACGTGGGCTTGAGATTTTAGGCCTCAAAATGAAATTCTACCATATACAAGCAACCTTGCTGACATTGCTTTAGATCTTGTTTTCTTAATCTATTTGGTGTTATAAATTGTTAAATTTTTCTTATTCGCAGTCCTTAGCAGATTTAAGCGGAAAATTGATACAAAAAACAAGAATCATAATGCTACAAATTGGAGATTGAGTAGACTTGTTTTGCCCACTTTTTATCCTGATTGATGGTTATACAAAAAACAAGAATGATAATGCTACAGATTGGCAAAATAGATTGAGTAGACTTGTTTTGCCCACTTTTTATCCTTATACTGGTTGATTTGTCAGCATCTTCACGCTTGAGCCTTTGTAATCCAAACCTAAGTGATGATGCAATTTTTCTACTTTAGCTTTGGATGTAGGCATATTTGAACAGGATTAGATTTTGGGTAGGATATTTTATGAATGGTGGTTCGGACTATTTTGGTAGAGCCTATGCCGACATTATTGGAGTTACATTTTGAAAATTTGAGCCTAGCTTGATTCAGTGAAGGGAGATGAAGAGGAACTAATTTATTTACTGGAAAACATAACCTTGA